TGATACTAAAAATGTTAACCATGGCTGAATCATGCCCATTATAAATATTTCTAGTGATATTTAAACAGCATGCAAATCACATCAGAGTATAACATCTATCTTCTCTTTCAAACATTTAATTATTACATGGTGTGTACATATATAATAGAAAATAGAAAATGAAAATATACCAATGTAACCGGGATGATCATAGAATGGACTACCTACAGAACAGAAAGAAAAAGAAATATATCATAGCAGCGTAGTTAACAGAAACAACTTGCATAATTGCATCACATTTAGGCATGCAACCTACTTTATATTTAACGCAGAACTGAGTTTACCATTGCCAGAAGCAAATGATTAATTCTAAAATTCCCTGGCCATGGGAGCAAAATCCCAAACCAAAAGTGATCTCTTTTACACATAGCAAGGTTTTCCTATTTATTTCTCCCTACTGCAGGCCTTGCATGAACTCAGATCTGGAATGACACCTCGAGGATGGGAGAGAGTGTATGAAGGAGGACTGTAGTAGGAAGATAAGATTTACTCCACATATTTACTCCACAAATCGATTTCACTTTGATAATACACTAATTCAACAATGTTCATAACATTAGAATTCAGATTTTAATTGGGATTATTTCTATCAGAGAATCTATAAGTATGAAACAATATTATCTGAAAGAAAGAAAATAATGCAACAGTCTGAATAGTTCCACACCATTCCTTAATGCAGACTTCCCTTACTTAGTGCCTTCCAAGTACATTTCAATACAATTTCCATAATTCATAATTTAGGAAGATACCATGTTAGGGAAGATTGTGATACAAAACATGTTTTGTACATTACACTTTTTTAAAAAAATTGGCCATTCATTTGAAATCTGCTGTACAAATTTAAGCTTAAAAATAAAAGATTTTCAGTCCATAAAATCAACATCTGTATCAAGAAAAAAAATTCACTTTTTACTGAAGATCAACCAAGACAATTTTCTTCTGTAATGTTACTGTACCAAGATTAGCCTAATTTGGGAAGCCTGTCTCCCCTCCCCATCCCACCTTACTCCCAATTATTCGATAAACAGATAAATCCAAACATGTAACATGTGTTTGCATTAGAGAGGTATCCTAGCTTGGAACACTCCATATTCTAGTGCTTTGTTCAGAGTTTGGAACTAAGTGGGGTGTTTGTTCTAAATTTTGAGTGCTCCAATATACCATATTTGGACTGTTAGAGACATGAGATTTGGAAAGTGCATAGATAATAAAATAATAGGCAAACTACTTAAGGAGAGGATAAGATAGAGTGAAAGTCACATGCTCAAAAGATTTGAAGCCACTTTGGAATGTTGCTCCTGGAATGGAGAGAGAAGTTAAAGACTGTAGTCAGATTTTGAGACTTTGAGATTGAAATTCATAGATGAATATACTGTTACTTGCCTAGACAATTGCCCTCCTGTCTTATGCTCCAAAGTTAATTATACCGTGTAGGTTAATTCATTAGTTAATTCATTAGTTAAAATTCATTAGGTTAAGAGGAAAGAAATAAAATAGGAAAGGGATTCCTATCCCTCTTGTGCTTTTCATTTACCTTTAATTATGCTTCTACATTTAGTTCCCTCAATTCCCTCAAATATGCTCCCAAATAAGAAGTGGTTCTTTATTTGAGAGGATTCAATTAAATTATTGTAACATATTGGCACACAGTGCATATCATTTTCCTGGTACATGTACATATTGGCTATTGGACTTTTTAAATAGCCAATTGAGGGTGATTAAGTATCACACCCTACCCTCACCCTCCTGACTGCCACCTGGCACTCTCAGTTTATCAAAACATTCATTAATTGGCACTGATGACTTGGCTAGGCCCCATCACTAACTCACTGAACTTACATTGTGTGTGTGTGTGTGTGTGTCTGTGTCTGTGTCTGTGTCTGTGTTGTACAGATAATATTGTTCTGCTTTTCAGTTTTCACGCTGTCAACTACAAGCACTACATTGCTTTAGTTATATGTGGAGCTTTACAGAAATATTATGTAAGGAAAAAAACATATTTTGCTGTTGTGACATGATAAATGGGTTGTGCTGAAATTCATCTACTGGTGTCACTCTTTTGCTGAGATCAGTTCTGTGGCTGTTGTGCAAGCACTGGCTACAGAAAGCATTGAAACAACTGTTGCTTACACAATTTGCTTTGGAAATTATTATAATGTTGAAGAAAAAATTAAAAATCATTTCCTTGATCATTTTTTTCTGTACACTGGGTTGTACATAGCGTTCAGCGCAGACTACTACGCCACCTAGGATACTAAACAAGGGAGTAAAAGGATTGCTTCAAGTTCAGATTGTTCAGATGGCAAAACACTTGAGATATTTCAATTTGTTTGTCAGAACCCAATCCACTCAATCATCTTCTAAGGTATGTTCTGAGTTGGGACTGTTTTTTTTCTGAGCTGAGAACACAACTTTTTGTTTTGTATACAACCCTTACTTTGCACCTGTTTCAACTCATGCAAGTGGCACACTTATTATTTGTACTCTTTTAATTATTTCTTGCTCATTTTACTAGTCACTAGAGAAAATAAATGCATATCATAACATATGTTATGTGCCTATGAGGAATTCTCACATGAGCTTGCTTATGAGACTCTGGGTTGCCTACCTGTAAGTTCTGTCTCATCTGGGGTTGGAAACCAGCATTCCAGGTATTGCTCTGTGGAGGAAGAGCTCTGTGAGCTTACTTATTTGACACTAAAGTGCCTACCTGAAAGACCTGTCCCACCTGACCTTGAGCTTCCAAGGGAAAGGTACTAGAAGCTTTTCCAGAAAAAAAGGGCCTGAAAGGAAGACTTTAGTTTATTCATATTGACTTCTTCTGGTGGCTATTTTTGTCTTGTCTTTCTTGGGAAAGGAAGGGGGTCTAGAATAGGGGTCCCCAAACCCCGGTCCATGGACCAGCACCGGGCTATGGCATGCCAGAAACTGGCAAGCAAACAAGTGAAGCCCCATCTGTGGGATGCAAACAGCATGTGAAATCATTCCCCCTCCAATCCTCAGAAAAGCCTCTCTCTACAGAACCAGTCCCTGATGCTTAAAAGGTTGGGGGCCATTGGTCTAGAAGATTTGAGAATCAGTTCTTTGGTGCTAGTGGTGCTAGTGAAGCTTTATGGTATCACTTTTTCAAATAGGAGAACCACTGCATATAGGCCAGGACATTCTAATGCCATTAGAAGATTTCTGTTCCAAAGGCAACAATAAATATATCCAGTGAGGAATCTATACCCAGATGATCTTTTCGTTTCTCTTTTTTATTTACTCCAAATTTTAGAAATGGTGATTTTATTGTTACTTGTAGCTATTATGAAAATTATAGGAACTTGCCAACAGAAGGTATATTAAAGAAAATAGGAATATAACAAGTGTTTGACTTTTCTCATTTGTTTCCAAAACCACTTTGCCTCTCCTACTTTAAAAGTAAATTGGTATCCTAATCCTCTTATTACTTATTTAGAAATTTGGAACAATTTCAATAATCACAATAAGAAAAAATATTACTGCCTGCTTTGAATAAGAGCAGAATCCAAACTTAAGCTCAAAATTTTGTGCCCAGACCCAAAAATATATCTTCTGTACAGTTTTATGTACATATTTTATATTAGCACATTATCTGGATAATGAACTTGTCTCTAAGACTAACTGGTTTAAATATTAATAATAAAAATTGCATGTAATTACATTTGAAATGTATTATTATCTCTAACATCAATTCGATAGTTTTGTATGAAAACCGGGTGCAACTTTGGAACATTCTAAAAATGGCTTGAAATATAATTAAAAAGTACAATGAAGCCAACACTTTCTTGAAAAAAATGTGCATATGTAAGTTCTGGAATAGCACGGGAAATTATAAATTATTTTCTTTCCCCAGTTAACCCTCCCAAACAATGGAGAAGGAAGGAATGAATTCCCTTCCTAAGTTGTACTACTCTGCTTAGGGTTAACGTACAATTTTCCTCTTGGCCAGGGACGTGGCTGGATGTAGATTGTTTACTGCATCCCATAAACCACTGACAGTAAAAGACAATTATTTGTTTAATAGTCCTATTATTATATCTGCATAGTTCTAACCATGTTCTTAACCATAGTAACATGCATCAATAGACTTTAACTGACAGAACATTGTTACTAGATATTATGCATACTTATTGAAAGATTTACATAGCAGACATTAGAATAATTAATTATTTGTCTCTGTCAGTACAGAATCTTAGTACACATTATTTGTTTTCATCTTTGAGATGAAACTTATCTTCTGAGTTTGATTGTGATAATTACACTTTAAAAGTAGATAGATTTATGTTATAGCCTTCAAATCTGCAATTTTGTACACACTTTTCAAGTTTCAGTGAGAATATGCCTAACTAAACTCCGTGATACTGACCTCTGAGTATATAAGCATAAGATCCCACTGTTATTCAAATATTTCTCAATTCTATGATGACATAAAATCAATTCTAATCTCAAGGAGCATATTCCTGCTCATTAAACATCCAGTAACATTTAATGCTAGCACGTAGGCATGGAAATGAATATAATACCAGGGTGTGGGTCTACTTGTCATGTTTCATTGTGCAGAATGTACAATTTACAATGACAATGCAAAGAAACAATAGCCATGCTAAGATTCCAAGAATGATTTGTATTCATTTTAAATAGCAACAAAAACTTTGAATGTAATCACAGCAGATTTTATCTTTTCACATTTATCTTTATTTACATAATGGGAAAAGATGGACAAATACTGTTTATTCTAATGTCCTTTTAAAAGGATGATAATCAAACTACATAACAAAAATGAATTTTAGTTTCTGGCATACTAAAATTAGGTCAGATTCTAAAAGAGCAGCACATTTGACATGTTAAAACATATTCTTGCAGGAGTGAGGACACTGGGTTCAAGTTTATCTCTCCTTTCAGGCTTCTCTCCCCTACTTTAAGCAAAACTTTGCAGCACAGGAAGTCTCATAGGGCTGCTTTGTAGGGAAATATCTTGGATTGGAAAAAGAAATATGATATAGAGCAGGGCGCAGCCCGCCTGGATGCGTCATGTGCTGGCCATGCCAATGCCCGGTTTAGCAAAGGGGAGAAAACGTCACAATACATCACGTGACGACGCGAGTTTAATTTAGATTTAGAACATCCTGCGTAGAACATTGTTGGGAACACCTTTAAGGCAGACAATAAGTAACTGATACTTACTTATACTATAACTACTTAAGAACAATAAGCAATCTCTAGAAGTTAGAGAATACTCCAACATTGGATGTTTTTAAGAAGAGATTGAACAACCATTTGTCTGAAATGATATAAGATCTCCTGCTTGATCAGGATAAGTTGGATAAGAAGACCTCCAAGGTCACTTCCAACTCTGTTTTTCTGTTCTGTTCTGAATCCCAAGCTATCATATATTTCCATGAGCACATTTCCAGGGTATCAACTATCCCAAGTTGCCATCCTTCTCTGACAACTATCCCAAGATGCCATCCTTCTCTGTACAAAATCCAGGTCAAAGTATTTGTTATTATGTTTGAAAAATACAATACAGGGAACAGAGACCATGCCTTTACAACATTTGAAATACTCTATTGTAGTTTCTTATTAGGGATATTAGAGTCGCCTTACAGGGGTGGCATAATTAATTTCCATATATAAACTATTCCAGGTACAGAAGTCAAGGAAGTTTTGTTAAAGTCAATGATATATTAAGATGAGGAATAAAGCCATTAATAAATTATATGCATCGTTTAGGTTAGTCTTCTTCACTTGGCATTAAGCATCAAGCACTATTCTACCCTTATAGTCTTATATGTTGCAAGATAAAGAGAATAAGAGAAATCTCCTATTCTCATTCAATCCACTTTTATTTCTTTTCCCTTTATGTACTGCCATTATTTTTTTCTTGAGGGGAAGAAAAAAATCTTATCCAGCCTTCCCCAAGATGGTTTCCTCCAAATGTATTACAACACATAGCCAGGCAACCTCAAGTCAATTAATTTACCCTTTTTTTTTTCTTTTAAAGTATCCCCATATTACTGCAAATTTATAGATCATTCCACCACTATGATTGCATTTATGTGATCTATTCATCACAGAAGAAAAAAAAAATCCCAGCATTGTTCAGGTTTCCTATAATTAATAATTTTGCTAGCAGTAGTGATAAAAAAGAAAGATGATATGACTTAAATCACATTTAATTAAAATCACAAGTAAATATAAGAAATGCAATTAGCTTAAGTATATCTGAAAAGACGACTTAATTGTTTTTATTCAAAGAAAAACAGTAATTTCACATTGAAGAAATTATGCTAAATCCATCTGATCTAATCAGTTACTAAAAGTAGACCCTGGTGACTGATGACAAAAAGAAAGTAAAAGTTAAGCAAGCAAATGGATGGAAAATGCTCCCTTTAGTGGCAGTAATGTACTTTCAGTCCTGTACTGCAATATTGAAAACAAGAAATATTATTTTTATTATTAATTTAGCCATATAAGAATATTCTATTACTGGCTAAAGAACCTAAGCAGAAATTTAAGCCATCATGAAAAGTTAAGGCTACTTTGCTATTCACTCAGAGGAAGATTATATTATATTTGCATATCTTTGCCTTTTAATCATCTGACCTTTTAGCTTAATAGTATGTGACTAAAATTTACTTTAATTTTTCAAGGAAATAGATGAATGCTTAATTCTTACACCTGACTTTATTACACCTAATGCTACGATTATATATATTTTAAAAACCTACTTAGCACTTCAACAATATTCTGATTATATTATTACTTACTACCTCCAGGATCTTCCATAAAATAAGCAGAGATGTTGGCTTCATCTTTTCCATACTGATTCTGTGCCACCAAAGTATAATTCCCATTGTTGACATGAGTAGGATTGTCCAGCTGAAGGCAGCCATGATATTCTGTCCGATTGGTAACATGTATTTTGGTCCAGATATATTCTGATTCATTCAGTTTAGCCCCATCGTGCAGCCATGTCAAGACTGGTTGTGGATTTCCCCTCACACTGAATGGAATGCACCAGTGATGGTCCGAATATGGTATTTCAAGATATGTGATATTTGGTGCAACTATAATAAGAACAATGAAAAAAAAAATAACCTGAATCTTTCATGTATTCTCTTCCTTGTCAATCAGTCAGCTTGTTCAAATAAAGCTAATTTACAAGCAGAAAGGTAGAAGGGATTAAATTTGAAAAGAATCTTGTTTGAGTATAATAATAAAAGAATTGTCTAAGAGGAGTTAATAGGACCCATACCACCTCTGTTGACTACCACACCATTGGTGGATGGTAGGAATTGATTTGGGGGCTTCTATGGAAACCAGGAGAGCTTGCGACTGTTCTACTAGATGCTTCCTAATTTAGTCCCACCAAACCCTCCATTTCATTATTCCTTTTCTAAGGTTGCTATCAGGACTAAGAATTGCCAGACAAATTTCAGTAGTCAGTGGGAGACAGTCTTAGAAACTGCATGTCCTTTAAGGACAGACCACTTTAGAGGACTGAATAAGAAATAATCTTAATATTGACTGGAACATCCTCCCTACAGGCCATAGCATAGTACCATTTACCCTACTGCTGGCATTTACCCATACCATTGCTTAATGGCTGATGTAGTAATAGTACTAAATACACTGAATCCTATAGCAAATTCAAATAAAGAATTTCATTGGTGTGATGGCATGGTAATTATCACTATAAGGACAGCATTGAGGACAGCCAAGAAAAAAAAAAGGAGACAATTTTCAATCTCACTTATCTGAAATAGTATAGGTTCTCCTGCTTGAGCAGGGGGCTGGACTAAAAGACCTCCAAGGCCCCTCCAGCTCTGTTCTATTCTATTCTATTCTATTCTATTCTATTCTACCTAACTTCTTGAAAATATTTATTTTATAAACGATCTCTCTTTCTGGGAAAAGTTCAATTTAAATTGCAAAATGTTAGTTCCCATTTTTTTTCATTAGGTAACGATTTTCTTCATGAAAATTTAATCCAAAGTTATTTACATACAGAACACGGTGAGGTCAACAGAAGCTTGGTCTTCACCCACAGTATTTTCTGCTATACAGTAAATCTGTATGCCACTGTCACTTGATGAGACATTCTTTATAGTAAAAGAAGCGGGGTTCTTATTTGTATCACTCTAGAAGGAATACAAAGAAATATACAGGCTTAGAGAATTTCCATTGAAAACTGAGTATGATTTTCTGCATACTATTAATGCCAACAGATGTACTTAACTAATTTACATAAGAACACTTTCAAAAACTTTATTCACTACTAATGTGGATAAAACAAGCACCATATACACACTGCTTGTTTTGAGGACCTCTTTGCAGATAGTCTATTATGCCTGGATGGCACTTGGACAACATCCATTGTGGTGAACAAGGTGATGTCTTCTATGATACTATGGGCTCATAGAGCTCAAGAGACTAGAAAGGGGTTTTGGTAGTTTGATTTTCCCCATTATCCAGCTTGTTTCATGCCCTTCCCAGCTCCTTAAGAAGCAAAGCAAGATATTCAGATGATTTCAGGAGAAAATTAACATTTTCCCAAGTAAAGGTATATAATGCCATCCGTTCTCTTTTGAAAAAGTTATATCAGGACCCAAATGTCCTTGATGAAATGAGTATCAGCATAAATGAAGACCACCCGAGATAAATTAATGCCTGTTCAAAACTTGCATTTTACAATGGCTAATATACATTTTTTAATATTAAAATCTTACCTCATGTTTTGAAACAATATTATTGAAAACCCAAGCTATCGTTGGTGATGGACTTCCTGTGGCTTCACAGTATAAAGTGATAGTTTTGCCTTCAACAACCGTGAGATTTTGTGTATTCAACTTGACTGAAGGCATGCCTAGAGAGTAAGATGGAAATATTTTTTAACCCGAACATATACAGCATAGTATATGTTTGTCAGTTTTCAGAAATTAACAACAATGTTTTGGTGCATCAAAACAGAACTTTCAAATAAACAGAATACCAATTCATTTGTTGAGACAACCTCACAAAAGTAAAATAACTTCTTTCTACTGACAGTTTCATATGATAACAATGACTGTTTAATGCTATCCCTGTCTCAAGTAAAACTTCCTTAATATCTAGTATAAAGTATTTCTTTTCTCTATTCATCTGCTTCCTTATTGCATTCAGTTAAATATGTTTGTCAAAATGTGTAAAGGAATTTTAAAATGTGTAAAAATTTATAAAGGAAATTTAGATCATGTGACTTACTGGTTTATTCTCCATTCCTCCCAAGTGAAGACATCATCAAAGTAATCCATCCCTCACAGTAACAGTGACCACTACTGAGTAGTCTGTCATTTAGATTACAGTTTAAAATACTCAATTATGCCACTGGTGGGACTATAGCAGGAATGTCAAACTCAATTTCATTGAGGGCCACATGCCCTTGGGGGGAACGGAGCCAGGTGGGCTTTGCCAGCTCAATGTCATTCATTGAGGCTCCGTTTTTGGCTATGATGGGCAAAAACAGAGCCTGGATGCACCACACAGCTTCCCCAAGCTCCGTTTTCACTGGCAGAGGGTTGCAGCCATTACAGCCAAAAACAGAGCCTAGGTGGGCCACGCGCAACTTCCTTGAGGTCTGTTTTCGCTGGCAGGGCATCGCAGGCCAGTCTTTCCAGGGTGTGGCTACAGGCTAAATCTAATTATCCTGTGGGCTGGATCCGACCTGTGGGCCTTGAGTTTGACACCCGTGGATTATAGGTACCAAAGATTATTCTTAAAAATCCTTTTCCTTTCTCCAATATTTGGAGCAAATCTCTTCACAAGATCTAGAATAGGCCTGGATTTATTTTAGCGTTGTGCTTGCTTAAAGCTTGTCATTTGACTTGTCATTTTCAACTCCAAGCCTAATTTTGTTTCTCCCTGGCCAAATCCAGAAAAAGTTTTCATTGTGTAATGAATGTGTAAAAAAAGGAATCATTTCTGAACTCATGCAATATGAAAGTTTGTTCATGTGTAAAAATTCTACTGATTTCTTCTCACTTGGCTATATGCTGATGCCACCAAATACACCCAAGAAAATGTATTGCATATACAGGAACCACTAGACATTACAGCATCCACTGATGCAATTTCATCAGACCCATTTAACCAATGTTTGATGCTTCTACATACAAAGGATAGTTGGATATAAAATATTTTACATTAAACATAAAAACTTTGAGTTGAAAAGCTTTTTTTGTCATTGCTGATATTGAAAATTAATACCTGCCCATATAACTATTATCCATTCCAACTTATATAGAAATTTTCAGGGACTATGCTTGTGCACTGCTATTATTTTCCTCAGACAGGGATGTTCCTCCCTTGTGAGATTTCCTTGAAAACATATTATTTGTTTTGTAATGTAGGCACCTAGTAACTTGTGAACATACTGAAAGTTGGAAATAAATTTTTTTCCAGAAGAAATTAAGTTAGAATGATAACCAAGATCTGCACTTTTGGAATTTTCTTATTCTTTCAAAATCTATACATTTCTTTTCTTTTTTTAAAAAAATGAAATTAGATTGTGATACTGCTACTTCAGTTTGTCGTTTGGAATACTACTTTATAAGGTAAATCTTGTATGTATTTGACAATGAATATGTACAAATACATTTCCAATTATAGGCTAATGGATCGCTGCAGATCTTAAGTCCTTTTCATCGATTTCAGAAAGTAAAGGCAAAGATAATGCTAGTTACCATTTAAGTGACAGAATGGAACAGAATACCACTGTCATTATGTCACATAATCTCCTAGATACACAATTATATCTGCAGCTGAAAATTTAAGGATGGGAAGAAACTGAGAGAAAACAGATAAGGTTTTCACATACATACGGTTCTCAAGAGACGGGAAAGGAAATAAGAATCTGCTAAAGAGCTACAGGAAAGGTCATGTCGGGGTCAAAGAAGGAGAAAGAGAATATAGCTAGCAAATAAAAGTGGATTTAGGCAATTTCAGATTGCTGAATATATCTACATTCCTGTGAGATGGAAAATAATCCACAGAGTCAGCAGAGGATTATCTATGCATGGAGAAGATTTTTTTTATTTTTTTATTATTTATTTATTTATTTATTATTTTGTCAATTGCTTACAAGATAATAGGTATAAGTAAAAACATAGTTATGAATATATATATATAAGATGCTTTATCATATCAGCCCACACCCCACACCCTCAAGGAAAAGGATGACTGAAAGATAAGTTGATTAACTTGCTGCCAACTAAGTCTAACAGAAGCCTACCTATTTACCTATGTTCCTAACAAAAGGGGCACCTCAGCAGAAGTGTTGCTTTTGGAGGCAAGGGGACAGTTTTGCGGAGCTATGTAATTGGAAAAAAAATGTCGACCTCTTAGAATACCGAATGCCCTTCCTCTGTGAAATGTGATGAATAAATAAAACCTGAACCGAAAGAACCCCCTTTCATCCTGCCTGTAAAAAGCTACATGCTTCTATTCAAAATACCAGTCAATTTGCACTAAAAAGTCTATAGAGATTGAGAATGCTCAAAATTCAGGCCAGACAAAACTATCAGAAACCTTTAACTTATATAAAAAGAAGCTGTAGTCATAGATGTTCCAAGCTGTGGAAACCTACACTCTTTTCTGTACTGCACATTTATTACTTCATGTTAATAAAATACCCTTAATCCTATTGAACAATTATGTAACTTTTCAGGAGCCTATTTCAAGTTCATTTGTGAGAGGCTATGATTGAGACAGAACATGAGCAGCATTGAAATAGTAATATTAGAATCCTCAAAGTCTCTCCAAGTCCTACCGAACTGTGTAAGGCTTAGTTTTCAAAAAAAAAATATACAAGCTCACAAGTTAATAATTAGCTACACTTAACATTTTGAGGATCAGAGGACTGAGAGCTATGGGGAAAACTATTATTCAAAATGGATGTACTATGGATTACACAGCTGGGTGAGGCTGGCATTTGTAGTTCAGTTTTCTATAAGAGTTTGCATTTGCTGCACTAGCCACTGTCAGCCAAAAAAGGAATTCTGATAGAACCAAGCTTGTATTTGTTTCTTACTCAATCAGTCCTCTAAAATGTATGCCCAAATTTGCCTAAATCCAAGCTTCTTTAAAAAATCCATTCTAGACTGATTTTCCCAGCTTGATCTGGTCACAATGGTTTTGAAAATCATAGGTAAAATTATTGGTCTTCTAAAGTGCAGCTATAATATTTGAATACATTTTAAAATGCTCAAGTACAGCTTAATGTCTATAAAATAGCAAATCTTTTTTCTCCTATATCACAGGAATCTTACTTTCATAGATAATTTCTCCCATAAGTATTTTTATTGGTCTCAGATTTTTTTAAGAATATGATATTGATATGCTTTAATAAGGAAGCTATAATTCATTCAATGAGAAATACTATGCCATCACAAAGCTTTGATTGGTAGTTATCTAAACTGATAGAAAACTCAGCCTGTAAGTTGCATATTTATTATAGCCTCAAAGCTTTCAGTAACTGGAATTACTGGAAAAAGTCTCAAGAGCAAAATTAAACAGAACATCCATTACACTTCTAGGGCTGAATATATTTTTGAACCTGGTTTGCTGCATGTATATTTTAATACAATAAGGTGAATTACACAGAAAATATATCCATGATTGCAACTGCACAAAGCAAATAACATATTATCTACTTAGAAGTAACACTGCAAACTATATAAGTAATGAAAAGTGGGATTGCATTCTAATTGGTTTGACTACAGGAGAAAACTTCTCTAAATATAGAAACACTGCATAAGGTATTAGTTGTTTTTGCATATCCTCATTCAGAGGACATTTTGCCTAAAGCATTTAACATTACCTAAGAGGCTTGCATAGTTAACTCAGGCATAATGCCCACTATAATTAGTACTTTGATGTGATGTACACAACAGTAAATTCAAAATCTCCTCATGAGTCAAGTTCAAATTCTGGTGACTCCATGGAACTATTGATGGAATCATTCTGGTAAAAATATAGAATGGCTTGCCATTATTTCCAGAATCTTTCTAGAAAACCTGATTTAGAATTTTCTGGTTACATTTTCAAATATTAACTAGGTTCAATCCTACTCAAGTTTCTAAAATCAGCCAAAACAGTGATCTCTCTAGATCAGGGATATCAACTCATGTTGTCATGGCAACATCACGTAACATATCAGGACTTCCCTTCGCTAAACCAGGCATGGCCATGGCCAGTGTGTGACACATCCGGCCCATGGGCCAGAAGTTTGACAGCCTTGCTCTAGATGATTCTTAGCTTATATGCTTCCATGGTCCCTCATTCTTCAGTACAGTATAATTAATAAAACACAAATACATTTTTAAAAAATCTTTTCTTCAATTAACAGTTGAAAACTATTGTCTAAATCAGAAATTATACTTAAACTAAATAATTAGAAAACAATCCAATTGTGATCCATAATCTGAAGTTTAATTGTTTCCCTAAATGATAAATCTAACCAACTTTTTCAGGTATGAATATTTGGAGAAACTACAATTTAATTTTTAACAATGGGAGATTCTGTTGTGATCTTCGCTGCCACACTAGTGAGAAAAATCATGTAAATCAAAGTAGGCTGTCTATCTAAAGACAAATCATATTTATGGCTCTGTTTCATAATTTCTGATTATGTGCATCTCTTATAACAAGGCTGTATTTTTGTGCATCAATAAAATACAAATTTTCTTGAGTTGGGCTTAATTCCCAGTGATTACATGAAGACATCCGTGTAGTATTCTTGACAACAACACAGAAATAGTTTGTCACTGCTTTTGTCTACTATTTATTCTCAGCTTCTCTGACTAAAGTCTTTGGATTTCAAAGGGATCT